AATAATGTGTACTGCATTGAAACAGATGAGGGAGAAAACTGTTTAAAAGGGATATGTGATTAGGTATTTTTGTCATGACGGGAGTCCAGAGGGAAGGCTGCATAGTGGAGTGGACCTGGGGGAGGGTTTGTAAAACAGTGGAAGAAATTTTCTTTTCCTTTTCCAAGAGGGTAGTATACTGGGTGGGGGAGGGTTGGGAGGGGAGAAAAGTGCAACAATGAATGAATGGAAATTCAAAGTCTCTGTAAATTTTCATTGAAATTAATAATAATTTTTTTAAAAAGAAAAAAATACTTCCATGAACCAAAAGTCAACAATTATCCTAAAGCAAAGATGAGAGAGAGGGCAGGTTGGAAGAGCACTGAGCACAAAAGAACCAGGATGCAATGAAAGAAACTGTTCACAGACTGTGAAAAATGTACCCAATGCCATTGAGTAATGTGTGGTGAAACTGTCAAGTGGAAACCTAACTTTCTGTGTAAGCTATGGGCAGCAAAGCAAAAAAATACGGTAAGAAAGCAAACTCAAGCATATTTGGAGGGAAAGGAGCCAGGGCTTATTGTAAGTCCCATGAATTCCAAACCCAGAATTTGCCCCCAGTGCCTGGTTTCCAGAGCCTCATCTGTGCAGTGAATACTGAGGTCTGGAAACCCTAGAACTCCAGAACCACGTGTGTGAACCATGCCTTTCTGATACCCTCAGAGTCTCGAACTCGTTTACTCCGTCCCTTTGCACCTATTTGTACCAGAGAACTCCCTTTCTGGCTACACATACAGCAAGGTCTCTCACAAACCTTTCCACCTGGGCTTCCCTCCTTACAACTGTTAGTAAGAAAGAGCTGGAGTGGCTTGACTGTGTGTCTGCCTCCATATTCGTTAAAAAGCAAACATACAAACCAAATCAGCTGTCATGAAAGCCAATCACCACTCAGGGGCATCCCATGAGTTGAACATTGCCCTGAGGGTTTTCAATGGCTCAATTTTTTTAAAATTTATTACTAATTTCAATGAAAATTTATAGACACTTTGGGTTTCCATTCGTTCATTGTTGCACTTTTCCCAACCCTCCCCTCAAGTACACTATCCTCTTGGAAAAGTAAAAGAAAAATTCTTTCACTGTTTTACAATCCCTCCCCTCAGGTCCACTCCACCATGCAGCCTTCACTCTGGACTCCGGTCATGACAATAATACCTAATTATACATACCTTTTAAACAGTTCTCTCCCTCATCTGTTTCAATGCAGTATACATTATTGAACCCATCTCTCTCAGTCTCCCCCCAATCCCGAGGTCATTCCTGTTTTACAACAGTGGCACTATGCAGTATTTGTCCTTTTGTGACTGAGATACTTCACTCAGCATAATGTCCTCCAGGGTCACCCATTTTGCATAATATTGCATGAGTTCCTTCTTTTTCAATGCAGCGTAGTATTCCATTGTGTGGATATACCACCACTTCTCTATCCATTTGTTTGTTGATGGGCACTTAGGTTGTTTCCACCTCCTTGCTATGATGAACAAAGCCGCAATAAACATGGGTGTGCATAAATCTGCTTGGGTGGTGGTTATGGTTTCTTTGGGGTGGCTGAATTTTCCAAAGCGGATTTCCAGGTCCTTTTGCTGAGGCATCCCAGGTGCATTTGAATGATCAGCCTTTACTTAATAGCTGAGTACTTAACCATCTGTCTCTCCAGACCCTCTCCCCATTGGCTAGGAAGGTCTCCAGTCAAATCTTTCATAGTCTTCTCTTTGGGTTGGTCATGGTTTGAATTGTGTCCCTCCCTCCAAAATATAAGTCAATTTTGAGTGAAATGTCATATATCCCTAAAAGAAGTCATAGTCCAAAACTTGGAATCAGAACAGAATCACTATCAAGAAAGAACCAAGACTGGAATGTGTCTTCTGGGTCCAGGTTTCTATGCTCGGAAACTCCTAGAACAAGGAGACACAGATAGAGAAAGCCTTCTCCTTGGTTGTTTTGTTGTTGTTATGTGCCGTCGAGTCGTCTGCGACTCACAGCGACCCTATGCACAACAGCCCTAAACCCTGCTCTATCCTGCGCCAACCGCACTGCCTCTGACACACCCATCCCGATTACCCCAGTCACTGAATCAACCCATCTCATAGAGGGTCTTCCCCTCCTGCGCTGTCCCTCCACCCTCCGAAGCATGATGTCCCTCTCCAAGGACCAGTCCCTCCTGGCAACATGTCCAAAGTACGTCAGACGAAGCCCCAGAATCCTTGCCTCCAAGGAGTAGCTTGGTTTAATCCTCTCCAAGATGAATCTGTTTGTTTTCCTGGCAGTCCATGGTACATTCAGTACCCTTCTCCAGCACCACAGCTCAAAAGCATCCACTCTCCTTCTGTCCTCCCTTGTCATTGTCCAACTCTCTGATGCATAACAAGAGATTGCAAATGCCATGGCCTGTATCAGGTGCACCTTAGTCTCCAGAGAGACACCGTTACTCCTGAGTACTTTAGAGAGGTCCCTAACAGCAGACTTTCCCATCGCGATATGCTTTTTGATTTCCTGACTGCTGGTGCCAAGAGTGTTGACTGTGGAGCTGAGCAAACTGAAGCTGTGAACAATCTCAATCTCTTCGCCATCCATCCTGATGCTGCCAATTGGTCCAGTGGTGAGAATCTTTGTCTTCTTGACATTGAGCCTCAGTCCATACTGAAGGCTGCAGTCCTTGACCCTCCGCAGCAAGTGCATGAGGTCCTCGTCAGTTTCAGCAAGCAGGGTTGTGTCATCTGCATAACGCAGATTGTTAATAGATCTTCCACCAATCCTGATGCCACCTTGGTAGCACCCTCAATTTGGAATTCATTCAGAAAAAATACATTTCTGTTTGCCAAAGTCATCCTTGTAAGGTATCTCTGTTGTAGCAGCCCTATTTAACTAAGACAGCCTATTCTCTGAGAAGGGATAGAAAATATGCATGATGTGATGATTGAATTGATTCATTCAGCCTGTCAGCCAGCATCTCCCTCACTCCAGAAGCACTTCCCTTCTTATGCAGTACATGGTTCTCCCTTGGCCCCCTCCTGAATCCCAAACCTGGCTGGAGTGACCCTCTTGGACATCTAAAATCTGTGACCCTCGAAGCCTGGCCAGCAGACTGTTTTCCTGGTGTGGAGAGTGCTGTGTGAGAGGGAAGTTCACAGAAAGCCAGGAGCTGGGTGTAGGACCCCAACTTGATATGTGTGTGGTCCCCATGGGAACCTCATCTAGAAAGTGGAAGCAATTTCCTTCCAGGGCTCTGACAGCGTGGTGTGAGGTTCCTCGTCTGTGGTCACTTTTCTGACCTCATGCCCAAGCTTCCTGTTGGAGCTTCCTCTCAGTCCTATGACACACCAGGACCTCACGTCTCTTAGTCCAAAGATGCTAATGCTTCTGTTGCTGCTGCTGCTGCTACTGCTGCCGCCGCTGCCCCGGCTGTGGGCAGGTGAGTGGGCAAGGGAACGGGCAGTGGTGCGAGCACTGGAGCTGTGACTGACCCTTCTTTCAAACCTACAGGGTCCCTGGTTCAGGGTGAGGAATTCCAACTGGAAATTAATAATGCAGTGACGG